AGATTTTCTAATTTTCCAGCCGTAAGGACAAAAGGGGCAGCTGGCCTGGGTCCACCAGAGGATAAAAACTTGGGCTCCAAACCAATAAAACTTGGTTTTACATAAACAGTAAAGGGCACATCCTACTTTAAATTGGGTGCCCATAAAGCAGTGCCTTCTTCTTGTGTACTGGCTATGAAATTGCCCCGTTGGGACCACAAAGAAAGGAAAGAGAATCATGCCAACAGTAGCACACATTGCAATCAAAAGCTGACAGAGACACTAACTTTTGCTCACTATTTGCACAGATAAGCATAGCAGAAAATGTTAGCATGCTGGTCCAGATACGCCACTTAAACCAGCTGTTCAGGCACACTCATCTTATACTTCATTTGTTGTTGGAGGCCCATTAAAAATCTGCCTGGTGATCCACCAACTGCCACTCCAATGTCTAATGAGAGTGTTCTCACTGACCACTAAACCAACTTAATTGAAGTGTGAAATGTCACTGGGCAAGGTTTAGCCATGAAGTCAGACATCTGTGGGTGTCTGTTCTTAGGCAGGACTATATTTGAAGAGTGTAAAATGGAAAAAGAATGGAATTGCTAGTGGCACCACCCTAAACAACCCATAACAACAATAACAATAAAATAACATAAATAATGAGAAAGAACACAAAAATTGTGGAAATAAATGACCGGTGCACTTTATTGGTTTACCAAAAAAGACAAATGTATCTTATAAAACATGAATAGATTCAACTAGATAACATATGAACATAAATAATTGCTTAGCAATAAGACTCAAGCAAACCAGGTACAATTAAATAAAGTATTACAAGTATTAATTAATAACAAGTCCCCCCACACGTAAGTCAGAGATATAGGCACAAAAACTACTGCAAAAAATCTTGGGAGAGAGGGCGGGCTGTTTGTCTGACAGCTCGAAGATTAACGGACATCTGTTGCACAGTTACTCTAAATACCTCTGAGCAGACATGAGGAAAATACATTATTAGCTCGAGCCATAACAGAAAAGCAAAACACAATCGTAAAATGGAAAAAACAATCTCCCATTTCTATTTGACCCAAGGCAGCTTTGCTGGAAAAGTATCACTGCAGAAACCTAGGGACTTTTTTGTGTATGCAATGTAGAAATAATTTATAGACAAGCTCATGAAGGTTAAATAATAAACTCGGATATCTTTATTAAGCAATAAGCAGAACAGCAGTTGAAACGGTTTACAATGGATTTGCAATAAATCACCATGACTCCCAGTTGGGGAATCCCAAATAAGGTACAGTATTTTGGACAGATTTACCTATATATGAGGAGCCATGAGGTCTTCTTTAGGTATCACTGGTCTGTATATGCAAAAGAAGGTGACGTAAACCCTGGAGACATTCCTGGCCAATGATGTCTCTAAGAGGGAAAAAATAATTCTACTTGACTTCGGAAATGGCTGTCTTTTTACATCTCCGATCCTACATACACAGCTTAACAGCATGCTGCTACTGAATATATAGAAATAATGAACCTTTGTTTTAAAAAAAAGGTTCCTTAAGGAAATTTCTGCCTGTTTGGCAAGCCTTTTCTGAGCTCTCCCATTTATTAGTATTCATTGTGCCCCCCTCCCTCCCCCAGGACAGTGTATTGCATGTAGAGACAGGGTTGGTGTTTACTGATCATGTTGCAATGAAGGGAGGGGGAGAGCTGTTTTCAGCCTGATTACAGTGTGATACCCTGGTGTCTGACTGATTTTCTTTTACAGCCAAGGAAGGTGCCATCTTAACCTGTATTTGGATTGCAATTGCTGTGGTACTGCACATGTGATAAGCTATGACATCCAGCCATTTGAGGGCTTGAAAGTTTGGTTGAGAGCTGAAATAAGCACACTGGCAACCTTTGACAGTTATTTAGGGGTAACTGTTTTGGGAGACAGTTAAGTTGGTGGGTCTAACAATATTGAAGTTAGATATAGAAGTTGCTGAGTCAGCATTAAAGCCAAAAACTATTTTTTTAGGTCAGCATTAACAGCCTCCATTTTTTACCTTAAACCACATCTGTCAGAAGAACTGCTTCAACCATAAATTCAAAAGCGGGATCTATCCTGGTCCCACTTGTACAAATGAAGAAACAGATCCAGTGCTGATTCCACCATTAGCCCAAGACCACCAGCTACAGGAGGCTAGGCAAAGCATTTATTTTTATACAATGATAGTCCAGTGTTTACCAGACTTCAGATTATGGCAACCTGCTCACATGTACAGTCAAGCATTCTTGTGTGAATCTAAATGAGAGATTACATATGAGATGTTTTCCATGAGCCCACCAAAAGCTTAATGTGTATGTAAAAGCAAAACTGTAAAAAAATAAAAATAAATGACTGTCTAACTGACTGTCTAACAAGGTTTTATAGCTGTCTGTGTTCCCATTGGAAGTATTCACCCCCTCTACTGACCCTGGAGACCATTGTCACTGAAACAGACAGTGACAGGAAATCCAAATTTGGGAGTTTTCACCACAGCAAGTGGTAAGGGGAAATTATCCAGCGGTGACCGCTGTCTAAGATAGGAATTGCCCTTACTTTGGAGAGCTTTCCTCTCATTTTCTGTTGCTTTTTCAGAACAGGTGAAGGGAAATCTGGCCAGCAGGACACAGACAGCAAAACAAATTTTAACTCTTTCCCACATTATCTAAAAACTGAAACAAATGTATTTTTATACAATGTAAGGCCCATTTCCAATTGCAATATCCCATTGCAATATCCTGACAAATCTGTTTAATGTTTTAATCAGGCAGAAAGGCTGAAAGGAATGGCTTCTGCTGTTCTGTCTCTTCAAAAAACCCCAGAGTGCTCTGTAAAGTCAGTGTCATATGTATACCCTGTATTAAATATGTATTTGTAAAACAAAATTTATATGACATAGTAAAATGGATATAAAACATGAGTTTAAAGCATGTCTGAATAATTTGTTTATCCTAAATTAGATTGTTCTACCAGAACCACATTTACAATATACAGTCTTTAAGTGCTAAACTTATGTTGGGTTATAATATGCGTACTAAAATTACTATTTTACTTCACTTTTCTGTTTAGCATTTTGTACTACATTTTTTATTTGCAAAGTTCATCATGTGAAGAAAAAAGTCTCTAGGGCAGGGGAGACAGTAAAAACATTCATTATCACTAGCAGCATACAGCATCTGAATTCCACAATGCTGTGCCTCTTGACATTACATGTGTTAGTATATAAAGAACCTACAGACATCCGCTGTGTATTGTGTCAATTGTTATCACAACAAGCACTGGTGTATGAAGATTTCAAATGATAAGGACTTCAAAGGTAAATTAATTCTTGTGAACATTTTCAGCTTAAGTGTTGCCTATTATTTTCTGAAAAAAAGGTTAGCATACATTACTTTTAAGTGACTTACAACACAAAGCATTAAACAAAATGATATCTATAATTCTCAGATAGATATCTTAAAATATAATAATGTTTGAACTCTTGAGAGATATTACCTTTCCTTTCTCCCCCCCCCTGTCTATCGCCTTGCCATACTCATACTACAACCCACCTCAATCCTATGCTCCTACTGGGACTATCAGTATTTTATAAGGTTTTCTCAGGAACCCATATAGGAGTAGGGCCCAATACTTACTTCAGAATTGAGGTTTCTGATACACAACGAGGAAAACAAGTACTAGTGGTTAGAGGTCCTAGAGACATTCCTCTTGTGTAATGATTTTTGGTATATCTTTATTCACATCATATGGAGCGAGCTTGATTTTCATTGTACTGTAATTGCTTTAATCACCTGCTCTATTGTGGATACCAACCAATGCTCTGTAACCTGTAAGATATGGACTAAGGCAAAACAAAATTATAAATTAAAAAATATAATAATGTTAACTCAGCAGGTGATCCATTCGTTTCACTGCCATCATTGTTAGTGATGTGAGTCATGGCAGCTGTAATGTGGGAGTTACTAATGATTATACCTCTGTATATATCTTATTTTATAGAGAAACAATTCTATTTATCACCAAGTAACCCTAGATTTATAAAAACACATGGAAATGTGACAATGGCAATATAAAGTGTAGTCAATAGAGGTCACTTACCTCCATTTAGCAGTTTGTAATTTATGTTTGGTGAGCCTAATTCTCATCTGTATACAGGACTGCTAAAGATGATATTTTGATGAGCATGGACTAGAGTTTAAAATAGTCACCAGGTTATAACACCTGTGAATGCGTAGGGTACAATGTTAAATAGTCATTCATTGGTTTTAGTGCTAAAGTTGCCATAAGGTAAACCATACACGTAATTTTATATGATTAGCCATTTTATCAGACGGCCAATACAAAAGGTGATTTGCAGTTTGCCCTCCAAGACTGTTGGTCTTCCTACTGGAGCCCTGAAATGTGTGTTTTTCTAATTGGCTGGTTAGTTGTACTGACACAACCACCCTTTTCTTGGCTAGAAACACATCTGAACTGACTTTTTTTTTCATTTCAAATGTTAAATGTTCCGCAAGTCACCTAATTTCCATTCTTTGTGTATGCATAAAAGTGACCTCTTTGGACCCTTCTTTATGGTTGTTGTACAGTGAGGTTGGTTTACTAAAGGCAAATAGACTATTTACTTTGTAAGGGAATTTTCACTTTGAAATGGAATTCCTCTTAGCTTTGTGAATGTGGTGGAAATTCACTTTACAAAGAATACAATTGCATCTATGGTAAAAAAAAACAACCCAAAAAACAGCATTTTTGGTTGCACATGATTGGATGATGGAAGTCACATCATTTACTAAGCTCAGGGAATTCAATATAGTTAAATTATCAATAGTTTATTCTATGAAAAACGGAAGTGCAGTTAAAAAAGGAAATCATTATTAACCTTATTTGTGGTTTGTTTTAGGACTGCAATCAATTATGCTATGAAAATAAATTCCTTTGATTAATCATTGATGTATGTGATCTTAAACTGTACACTTGTCAAAAGCTCTGCAGCATGGAATTTGAAAAAGGTAACTGTTCCCAATTTGAAGACTTGTCCTTCTGTTCTAACAATCAGTATCTTGTCACCCGTTTAGGACTTTACATATTCTTTACATGTTCCATAACTATTACGGTCTTTGGAAGCCTTGATATTATTATTACTATTGCCCATTTTAGACAGCTTCATTCAGCAACAAACCTTCTTATTCTTTCCTTGTCATCAACTGATATGTGTATTGGAATATTTATAATGCCATACAGCATGGTAAGAACTGTGGAAAACTGCTGGTATTTCGGAAACCTATACTGTAAGATACATTATGGTTTTGACTTGACTTTAAGTGTCATCTCTATCTTTCACCTCTGTATAATTGCAGTTGACAGGTTATATGCGGTGTGTAAACCACTCTATTATCCTGTAAAGATTACCCTGCCTGTCATTAAAAGGTTGGTCTTATTTTGCTGGACAGCTCCTATGATATTTTCATTGGGAGTGGTTATATCAAACTCTCATGTGTCTGGCATTGAGGGATATGATCTTCTAGTCCAATGTTTTAATGTGTGTCCTATCACATTTAACAAATTATGGACAGTAGTTATTTTCTTTACGTGTTTTTTTTCTCCAGCAGCTCTAATGGTTGTAATCTATGTGAAGATATTTCTGGTTTCTCAAAAACATGCTAAGTTTATAAAGAATGCAGCTATGGATTCAAACACATCACAAACAGTTTCCAAGAGGAAAGAGCATAAGGCAGCTAGAAAACTAGCCATTTTGATGGGTGTCTTCCTTAGCTGTTGGGTGCCAATTTTTGTCATTTTATTAATTCATCCATTTATAAACTTTTCTTCACCAAAAGTCATTTTTGAAGTATTTAACTGGTTCAGCTATATAAACTCAACATGTAATCCTATTCTTTATGGCTTTCTCTATCCATGGTTTAGAAACGGTCTCAAACATATAATCTCTTGTAGAATTTGTTATTCTGGTTAATGTACAAATCTGTTTCCTGTTGAATAGGAAATTATATGAGAAAAGTCAATCAATTTTTATACTAAATTGTGTATAATTTTGTACGATTAACGCTATAGAATGAAGGGTAGCAAATAATATTTATATTTGTTAAATTTATATTTAATTCTGAAAGTTATGCTGAAGGAAACTTTTGACAAGTTTTAGGTTAACATGTGAAACACATGTTGTGTATGCATCTTTGTTTTATAATAACATTTAAATAAGGTTTACTAACTCGCTTATTTATTAAATAAATGATTCCTTCATACCATTGCACGGCCTTTAAGGACTGTAGAACCATGCAGAGAAAGAGATTTTAATTAGTTCCATTAAGTGTGATGGAAGTGTAGTTATTGGTTTTAGTGAGTTCATGTACATCATGCACTTGTTCTAGCCCCGAATAAAAATATGAGACAAGGCCCCCATTATCAGTTGACTGATGCCATAAATGATTTAATTAGAAATGCTTCACACAAAAACAAATTAGTAGTTCTAAAAAAGCATTTGACCTTTGGCTTATCAATGAGTGACTTGCATGTCCTTTAATATTAATTAAAAGAGAAAAAGAAATAATGATCTTCCATTAGCCTGCCCAGCCTTTACTGTGTACTTTATGCTATTGAATTTTGTTGCCTTACTCTATCAGCATCGTTACTCATTTTAGATATGATTCGTGCATAATACTTGTGAACTACACTCATTTAAATTCATACTTCAGGCAGATATAAATACCTAAATAATGCAGTTCTTTATTTAGTAATAAATCATTTAATGTATTTTTTTTGGAATAACAACTAGTGTAAATACCTGAATTTGGCACTAGGAGAGTGAAGCAGGGCTGAGAAGTGTACTGCTAGCAAATATGTTGACAAGAAATAATAGGATAGCTCATTCTTGGTGCCCTTCCATGACAGTCTATTGGGATCAAATAACCTCCATTTCTGTTCCAAGAGATCCCTGGACACTGTTATTCCATAACACTGCTATACCAACACTCAAGTGCCTGAAATCAATGATGTCTCACCAAACACACTTAACACAGCAAAGAGTCTGATTCCAAAGTATTGGAAAGCAACTGGGACTCCCACAGTGGCAGAATGCCTTCTTAAGAGTAGATAAAATATGCCTAATGGAGAAAATTACTCTTCTACGGAAAGAACATTACCAAGCTTTTTGAAAAATCTGGATCAAGTCAAGAACTGAATTATAAACTCACAGAGCAATCCAATTAATATCTGATTAAACAATAAAAAAAACTACTCATGTCCATTTCTTTGTCCCTTTGTTAGTACATGTTTATTGTATGGAAAAAAATTCTAAAAAATTGAATTAAACTCCCCCTGAAAAGATGACCGTATCAGCTTCCTGTTGCCTTTTCACTGTGTATTCAAAAAGTTGGATAAGGGACACTACTGTATAGATTAACTGTAGGTTGGGGCTACCAGGGTTACCAGTGAAACACAGCTTCTAAAAAACACTTGGTTATGCTGTGCATTGGGGCTGTGTACGTCTCAGGACTAGATTAACAAAAATACAAATCCTTTGACAGGTAGAACAACTCCTATATATGTATTTTATCTGTGTATTTAAATGTTTGCCTGGAGTTCAATGTTAAGTCCATCTGATGAAGCAAAGCCTCAAGTGGAGAGTTATGAAAATTCTCATATACTCACCTCATGTACGGATCAGCTGAGCCGAAGCTCCGCCAGCTCACTCGTACATCATCTGAAATCAGCCATACATCGGCTGCCCTCAGCTGCACTTCGGTCAGCCGAACGTGCTCTGCATGTTCGGCTGAGCCGAAATGCAGAAGGACTTCGACTCAGCCAATCCAACATCTGGATCGGCTGACCCGAAGCTCTGGCAGCTCACACGCTGCCGCTCGCCCCTATTCTCATAGGGGCCAAACGGCATTGAGTGAATAGCCGAATGCCACCAAGCAGCATTCGGCTCGGCTATTCTGCTCGGTACCTCCGTGGTACCGAGCAGAATAGAAAATCAATGAAGAGTTTAAGAAAAAAAAAAGGTTGAAAAAATATTTTTAAAATGTAAATACATTGTAAAATTAAAAAAATAAAGATTTTTTAAAACGCCATGTCCGGCTCCACCCAGTTGTTATTGCTGAATGACAGATCAGCATCTCCAGGTCATTTGGGGATGCTGATATGTCATTACAACTGGGCGAAGCCAGCTGTGAGATCACGGCTGGCTCCGCCCAGCTGTTATTTGCGGGTCTTACGGCTGGCCTTCGGCAGGCCGTTTGCCCCACTTCGGGTATCACTTCAGCTCAGCCGAGCCAAAGCATATGCCTTCGTCTTGGCTGACCGGCATGGCTTCCTTCAACTGCTGTACGGATTATAGTTAAAAGCTCGTACAGCAGCCTTGGAGGTAGCGAGCAGAATAGCCAATGAGAGTACAGGCGAATGGTGACGAGTGAACTGCCAGAGCTTCGGCTCAGCCGATCCAGATGCTGAATCGGCTGAGTCAAACGGCTTCTACACCGAAGCCAGCCGATTTACAGCTAATTTTAGCCAATGTACGGCTGAAATCAGCCATACAGAGGCAAAGTGAATAGTGGCTCGATGATTCACTCTATATAATAACCCTCCTAGTTTTGATTTGTAAAATTAACTTGTGAAGTGTTGTTTACTTATATTCTTATCACAGTACATTGAAACATCCAGCCAGGAATAAAAAAAAATCCGGGTTTTGCAAAAGAAGGGGTTTGTTTGCTAATTGCTAATGTGTCTTTAAACTGTTCCAGATCACCAGCTATTCTGACTCCGATTGTTGTGATAGTGATATATCCCTTGCGGAGACCTCTATGCCTGGCCTGAGATGTTTTGGCATATGTGCCAGTCCTGACAGTGAACATCTGTGGGCTTAGTGTGTTTGGAGTGTGTAGCATGGACTAACCTTGCAGTACTGCGTTCAGACCTTGTCCACTTGGAGAAATGACAGTCCAAGATGAATCCTTGTTCCGATCTGGTGACAAGGGTTTTGCCTTCAGGACGAATCTCTAGATCTCTGTCAGGATCTAAAGGACTGACGACATCAGCTGTGGTTTCTTCTGGATGATCCAGCAGGAATTCAGGACCTTGTATGGTGTTGGGAGCCACAAATCCCAGTGGATCGTATCTATATATAATTCTTATCTAAATAAACTTCTATGCCCCATTGGGGCGGCACACCAGCAGTTCCACCATACTGTATTATAGCTGTGTTTCAGTACATGTTTTCTGAGATACAACTAACTGTGACGTATTGTTATCTTAACATTTTAGTAAATGATAATAAAAATACATTATAATACAAAAACTAAAGATTGTATGTCCAGTCTGGAGCATGTTAACCTGCAGTCCACACAAAGCATTCTAGACCATGTTATCAGTTATCCTTAATCCTTATTAACTAGCAATGGTCACTGGGGCACAAATTGTGTGTATGAGTGAGACTCCCTGGGTCATTCAGTTTAGTAGGAAGCTTGTTCTATAGGTCTCACTCTCTAGTGTGTTCTTAGTTATATAAACACGGTTAATTTGATAAGACGTTTCTCTGCTGTGAAGATTTTCTGTAGAAATTTTCTATCGTATAATAAAATACACAATATCATAAGACTAAATTAGTATTTATTTATATTACACTCCTGTATACATCAAGTAATTTGACTAAAGTAAATGTGAGGCATTTGCTGAATGAGAAGAATGACAAAGTAGAATTGAAGCCAAAGCTTTTTTTTCATTTTAGCTAGAGAAAAGGAGGGTTATAATTCCTGATAGCTTTTTTTGCCATCTGTGTCCTATTGGGAAGATTAGTCTTCTCTTCCTGTCTGATAACCACAACAGGAAGTTACATAAAATCCAGCCAAATAGAGGGAAATCTCTAGTGGTCAGCAGGGTCACCAAAACAAGCATCCACGTTGGAATATTTCCCAACTATTCCTATTCTTGCGACCACCTAAAATTTGTGTTTTTCTTTCACTTTCAGTGATAAGGGTCAGCAGAACAAATATAGAGGGTGAATCTTCCTAATGGGGACATGGACAGCAATAAAAACTTGACAGGTTTTGTAATCCTTCTCCAAAACGAAAAAAAAAAAAGTTTTCAGTTGCACTTTAACCCCCCTATCCCACTCAAGTAATAGAAGTAGGAAACTACAAAGAAAAATTACTTTACAGTTGTTGCAATTTATTGTTTCCAAGGAAGGAATACCTTTGCTCTTCTTGGGTGGTTCATTAATCTATTGGTCCAGTTTAGTGGTATCCAACTTTAAAGGTCTCATTTATTAATCACAAATCAAGCAAAGGCCACATCTAAATCAACCATTTTTTTTTTTACAATTTTCAATTCAAAAATATAAAATTCCCAGTCCCGTGCACAGTAGGAAAAGCTCTGAGTGCAAGATGACGTTGGCTATAAGTATCATACCAAAATCAGAAAAAGACATGCATATTACATGGTTAACTCCTTTCCAGAAAGCCCCTTCCACAACAGCCCCATATACTGCCATTGTATTCCCTTCTCGCACTAGCCTATATGAAAGTGACATGCTTCTACAGACCCTGTCAAACATGGGTTTCTGGAAAATGGTGTTCCGCTCACACCAGAACTATAGAATTTGATTACAGATAAAAGAATAAAGGCAAAACTTCCAAGAGCAATCATGGTAAGTGTGACCAAGAAGTGCCTCTCCCCGTGTTTTATATCTCCCCAACTTATCAACCTAAATAAAAGGGATGTTTCAGCGTGGGGATGACATGCAGTACACTGAGCAAACAAGCAATGCAAAAACACACAGTTCATCATTCCTTTCTATGAGTCTGTGCTGTAACCAGGGACGCTGATCTCTCTGCAAGTGGCCGGAGCCAGCCGTAAGATCACGGCTGGGTCTGCCCAGCTGTAAGAAGCAGGCTGTCGGCCGGCTGATGGCCGGTCGCTCGGCCAGCTCCGGCTTTCAGCGCAGCTCAGCCGAGCTGAGGC